GCTATTTAGTTGAAGGTTGTTTATTTCAGTTACCTTTACTTAATAGCTATTCTCTCTATATTTATATTCTATAATGGAATGAATTATTCCTTAATTATGTAATAGGATTGTAAGGAAATGTATATTTATAAAGTTGGCTATTCTTTAACAAAGTGAGTATAGAGAGTAAACTAATGCTAATTAAATTAGAGTCATTATCATTAGTCTAGTTATGAATAATTAACAGAGTTGGTTGATTAGTTAGAGTAAGGTAGATTGTAATTGATTAAGTTGCATTATGAAAAAAGCTCTAATTTGAAATGTTGAAAAGAGGCGGTGTAAAGAACAAACTACATTGGGAATAAGAAGTAGAAATGAAAAGGATGAATAGTAATTGGCGACAACTTGAAAAGATTGTTGAAGACAGAGTTGACTGGAGAATGCTGATGAGTGGCTAATGTTCCTCATTGAAGGGTGATGACTAATGAACAGAATTGGTTGATTATTTAGAGTGAAGTGGATTGTAATTCATTAAACTGTATTATGAAACAAGCTTTAGTTTGGATTGTTGAAAAGAAATGGCAAAAAGGCGGGTTAAAGAACAAACTACATTGGGAATAAGATATAGATATGAAAAGGATGAATAGTAATTGGCGACAACCTGAAAGGATTGTCGAAGACAGAGTTGAATGGAGAATGCTGGTAAGTGGCCTATGCTCCTCCATGAGAAGTAAGTAATTAAAATAGTTATTCGGCTAATTTATTGTTTAATTTGAAAGAAAGTGTTTTGTGGGTGTTTTGCAATGTTCATTGCTTTTGTTTTGCCAGAGTTATGTGAATTAAAACAATGATAATCTTTATCGTCATGATACTTAACTAATGATACTTAAATAGTATGGTAGAAATATAATTTATGAATAGTCATATAGGGGTTTTGTGGATATTATCATCATATGCTAACTAGTGACTGACTTTAAGCGATATTTCATGGAGTTCTAGTGAGAGGCATTGACCAGTGGCATTCAACCAGGTGTGTTGTGAAATAGTAACTCACTGATGAAAATGGCGAACGTTGGCTCAATTTCATGGATTAGTTGAAGTTAGACATTAACACTGTTAGATGCCAGCTCAGTGGTCTGGTGGTTAATCGCTCGCGCACGAGGCCGATATATCATGGGTTCGTATCTCTCGGTACGGGATCGTGGATGCACACTGCTGAGGAGTCTCATACTAGGATGAAACGGTCTTTCAGTGCTTTCAAGTTTTCCATGATTATCTACTTTAAGTTGACTCACGAATTTAACTATAAAATTACTATACCATACACAAAATCCCTCTTTGATTAAAGTGAATAAAAATATGCATCTTTCAGATGATTGTACGTAACAGATTTACTGTAGAAAGCATATCCAAACATAATAATTAGTTTTTGTAAGCAATGATGGATAGTGGCTAGCAGTGGAATCCAGGACGCCCGTTTCGTCCTATTTGGGACTCGTCAGCTGGATTTACCTGCATCTCAGAGTTGATTAGTTATTATACACAAATGTTTTGTCAGTGTTTTCCATAAAACATGAAATCAGTAGTTGACTTGATATACCTAATACTATTTGATCTTATCTATTTGGATTGTTTAAGTATGTTCAAATATGTAGGACTTCGGCTGTCAGTTGTTTGTTTTTGAAGGAATTTTGTTTAGTTGAAATTAATTATATTGTAGATTTCTTTGAAAGTTATCTGAAGTCTTCTAATAATTTAGAAATATTAATGTGGGAGTTGTAATGATTATTGAATTGTGTTCAGATCACGAGTTGATCCTAGTTAAATAACTATTGAAAACCTGGAAAGCTTTTGGGCAATAGTTTTATTCTAGTATGAAACTTCTCAACAGTAGATATCTATGATCTCACCTCTAAGGACTGAATCCATTACCTTGAATCTCATGAACAGAAGCTTAATCTTTTAGACCACTGATCCGACATCCATTAGCACACAAGTTCTAAAGTCTTGGATTCGATCCTTATTGGTGGGTTTGTGAACAATCACTATTGAGTATTCTCATGTTAAGATGAAACGGCTGTTCAAGACTTCCTGATTCTCAATAAGATTTAGAAATGGTTTGTGTTCTTTCACCCTCATGTTCATTTGTCTCGATGTCTCATCCACATATACAACATTATTGCTGGTAATTATAATCTCAGTGGAATAATTTCATTGTTCATCTCTGGAAACTATATACTTGTGATCCTTTACTTATATTTAGTGGTTTTTGATTATTTCCCTGAAGGAGTACAAATGTAACAAAACGTTTGAGTTAACTTTTAATTCAAATTACTAGTATTTTGAAGAGACTGAACAATTTTCATAGTTTAAATCATTAACTGATCTTAACCATATCACTATTAAGAACTAGAAAGTACAGGGCAGCTGTTTCATCCTAAACTATTCAGACTATTCAACAATCAGTCTCCACAACCTTATCGTAGAGAATCAAATCCTAGAACTTCTAGTTTCATTCATCACCAGATCCTGTCTCAATAGTCTAAAGGATAAACGTATACATTTGAAACCGAATATCATATAGGTTTGACCCGTCCCCTCCCTCAAGAAGTAAAGTCATGGATCCACACTTCCAAAATGTTCTATACTAAGAAAAAAGAACTCCCTTATACTATCAGGTTCTCAATGACAGTCTAGTTAAAATCAGTTCATGATTTTCTTTAAATCTTTCAAAAATAAACATTAAACAATCTTAACATAACGAAACATACACACACACACACAATGATCTAATGTGTACTTATAAAACGAAAAAAAGAAAAAAAAATCACGACACAACTAGCGATCAATAATTGCTAATTCCTTTCTACTCTTTAATGTTTTCTTTATTTTGTTTTTTTTTAAAAAACTGTCTTAGCAACGACCTGCCTAAGTTCGATTATTAAACAACAATAATAAACAATCGTAATGTAAACTTATATTGGTTACTAGGGTGTATGTTTCTAAGTAGTTTACTTTATTTTTTTTTATTGATGTTTATTGAATTTTTCATTTATTTGCAAAACAAATTTCGATAATGTTTGTCGTTTTTTAAAAAAAAATTTATTTGTTTAAATGAATAAAATGAAGCATGCATAGGTCAATTTTTGAAAGAAAGTACAATCGCATACACTATTCCCTTTACCTCTATTAATGTCTTTCTCCCTCCCCCCCTCTCTCTCTAGGTTACTTAAGGTGAAACTAACAAACAAATAAACTCCCATTTATACCAGAAGGGGTTTATGTGGAGAGTATAGTAGTTTTGATCGTTCGATTCATAAGTTAATATTGAAGCTAGACCATCGTGGACAACCTGGAAGTACAGGGTGACCGTTTCGTCTCACTGCGGGACTCCTCAGCTGTGTGCATTTATATACCAACGATATAGTGTCGTATATACAATGCTGATTGTAAGCAAGTTGATAGGGGGGTGACTAAAGTCAATCATATATTTTTTTGTCGCATAGTAAAGAAATCTATTTTTTCTTTTTTTTTCTAGTTTCAATCGTTTAACTACTTGTATTTTAACAGTTGAATTCATGAGTCAATTGGAAATAGACCACCATGAAGAACCGGGATGTACCGGACGGCCATTTCGTCCAACTGTGGGATTCCTTAGCAGTGCGCATTGATACAACAACAATATACTGTTGTACATACAATGTTTATTATTATGACGGTGATGGTGATAATGATTGTATGCACGTTAACAGAGAGGGTTGACTAAAGTCAATCATACATTTTTTTTGTCACATAGTAAAGAAATCTATTTTTTCTTTATTGTTCTAGTTTCAGTCGTTTAACTACTCGTATTTTAACAGTTGAATTCATGAGTCAATTGGAAATAGACCACCATGAAGAAGCTGGAAGCACTGGACAGTATGGGACTTCTCAACAGCGTGCATTCACCATCCCACCCAGTGAGATTCGAACCCAAGTCATATCGGCCACGCGCGTGAACACTCAACCTCTAGACCACTGAGCAGACATCCAACAATGTTAATGCCTAAATTCAACCAATCTAGAATATTTCGCCACCGTCAACCATTGACTTCAGTGAGTTACTATCTCACAACAGACCTGGTTGAACTCCACGGGTCACCACTTCTCACTGGAACTCCAGAAAATACCTCTTAGAGCCAGTCACTCGGGAGCAGATGATGTTTAGAATCAGACAGGGTTTTTGTAAAGATTATAGTAATTTAACAGTTAAATTCAGGATTCAATTGAAGCAAGACCATCATGGGGAACTTGAAACATCTGGGCAACCGTTTCATCCCAGTATGGGATTCCTCAGTAGTATACATCCACAATCCCGCACCGCAAGATTCAAATCCAAGACCTATCAGTCTTTCTATTAATTTTAAGCATGATGATGGCTAACAATATAACTTATGATACATGTTTCATTCTAATTAAAACTCATTAATTAGATACACTTATATCTCAGAGTTGATATTTACTCAAAGACTCGAACCTATCACCTTTCATTTCAAATATGATCACATTATAGTGATCTCAACTATCTTAGATTAATTCACTTCAACATCTTATCTCATCTAATACTAATAGATTATAAATATTCAATTATACTGACCTAATAAATTATTAAAGTAGAAACATTCCATTATTACAGCAATAGACCACCACCACCATTTCCACCCCCGTCCTCCTCCGCTAAAACCACCACCACCAACAACGACAAAAACAACGACCACAATGATTCTTTTTAATGATATTTTTAGAATTTTCCTTGACAGTTAGTTTTTTTCTCTTGAAGAGAATAATAATAATAATAATAAAACATATATAAGTAGTATATTAAAATTGACCTCATTATGGGAATAATAAATTAAATAGGGAAGGGGGGGAGGAGGAGGAGAAGGAGGGAAGGTGGACGTTAAATTAATTGATTTTTTCTGTGTTTTTTTTTACATTTTTTCTTTTTTTTTCTTTTTTGTTTGTTTGTTGTTGTTGTTGTTAATGTAATATCTCATAACAACTAATTAAAATAAAAGAAAAGAAAAAAAATAGTTAATTAAAATAAAATTTTAATGAAAATTGTTATTGATTGATTAAAAATAAATCAACAGGAAATTATTATTTTGACCTAAGTTTCTATGGTAGTTATTAGAATTCAATGAAGCTTATCTCTAATCTTAAATGTATTCAATAGTTTGTGTGAGGTTATATCAATAATTGATATTAATATAGTTACTATGAAGTTATTTTGGTCATTTATAATATATGATAGAAATATTGAAATGTTTCAAGTGATTTATTGATTTGATTGAATGTGTTGTAACGGGTGGTTTGTAGGTTAGATGGAGCAGCGTTTATATCGATCGATTACAATGACACGGAAAACACGTAAGGATGACCTAGAGTCTCGATTGATCCCGTTTCCCTGTCTAGCCCAGCCAGTTGAGTTCAGAACGTAAGTCACAGCCTCTGAGTTATGAATCATTATATTTCAAACATCCTCTGTTTATATACCAATCAAGCATACCACATCGTATCATAAAATAGAAAACAACATTTTGTACAATATTTAACAAGTGAACAAATATCGACCAATAGGAAATGTCCATTTGAAGTCCAAGGACACCACTGGACTTAACATGATAATTATTGGTATATTCCTCTGCATCCCTAACAGAATGGTGTAAAATTGGTCAGTCAGTAACAATATAGAACTATATATGTATATATATTGCTTTAAGTTGTCATACCTTATTAGTACAACAACAAGATGAACATCAAATTCATAGAAGTAGTTACTTCAATGGCTTATTTTATTTAAATACATAAACATTGGTACAAGGAGGCACCAAATAGATATGCGCCATAGAAATCCTTTGATTTATGTGAGGGTTGGAGTATTGTCAGGGTGCCCAAACCGAAGTAGATGGTTTTCTTTTGGGGGCCACATTCGGAGCCTTTGACCTAATGGTCCAATCCGAAAGGTAGTGGAAAAACGTTAGGAGATGCAATCCCATGGTAGCCAATGATCAACAAGTGGTTCATACGCCATTTGTTCCATCAGGATCCTGGAGTCCATGTGCACCATCGGTTTGGAATGAAGTTTTTCCAACTTTCCTAAATGGACTCTCCGTGTCCACCAACCTGGTTAAAGAGTCGGATATTCGCTTTTCGTTCTCTCAATTTTGTAAACAACACCTCAGAAGGCAGTGAGTAGGACTTCCGTGGTAGTGGTTGTATGCACATAGCCATGTGAGAGCATTTTGAGAGGAACAGCAGACTCTCCTCATTCTTGGCCGTACCAGGGTGTTTGGAGGCTAATGTTAGTAATATATAAAACAAAGATTAAATATAAGGATATAATACAGAAAGAAAGAATTAGTTGATAGAACGAAAGATATAAAGCGATTTTAATCTCATAGTTTAAGGGAAGACAGAAAGGGCGTACATCGACGCCACTGTGATAAAAGATCAGTTTAATCTTATTGATTATTTTGTAAACTTCCATTTATTTGCCATTGTAATTCCCTAATTCATATTGTATTCATTAGTGTATAATGACTTATAATATAACTTATTTGAGTATGTACCTTGTTACATATGTTTTTTCTATATCTCTATGTTTCCTCTATATGAATTTAGATAGTTACCGACGATCTATTTTACATAGATAAAAGGATTCATACTTATTTTATTTGATGTTTTCAACACATAAATATTCTTACAAAGGGGCACCGAATGCATATGCACTACAAAAGCCACTTGATTTCTGTGTGGGTTGTGATACAAGGCGGCCTGCTTGAGCATCTGGGCTACCTGTTCCTGCCATCTAGATATTTCGACAAGTTATCTATTTTTGTTTGTTTTAATATATCATTATGTCTATTAATCGCACAACCTATTCTGCTGCGTTTCTGAAAAGTTTACAACCTTTCGTTGTCAAAGTTACAAAAAGCTCAAAAAGAGAGAATATTGTTGCTGGGAATATACAACGAAAAGAATGTACATTATTCAGATATTCATTTACTGGACTGTTAACATCTAGCTGGCGATCACTCAGTATTTATCGCGAGGACCGACCAAGAAGAAAGAAACGGAAACTTGTTGAAATACTTTGTGCTGAGAATTCTATATTGTACCAATAATATAATATTGAATAAAGCTAATAATAATAATAATAATAATAATAATAATAATAATAATACTGCCCTGATGCTACACCCAGAGCCGTCAAGAGATACAGTCCCATGGTAGCCGGCGACTAATAATTTGTTCATACGCCATTTGTTCCTTCAGCATATCGGAGCTCATGTGCACCATTGGTTTGGAATAAAGGTTTTCCAACTCCTCTAAATGGACCCTTAGTACCCGATAAACTGGTTCAGGAGTCAGATAATCACTTTTCGTTTTCTTAATCTTGTAAGCGACACTAATGCCTCGAGAAAGTTGTGAGTAGGACTTCCCGTGCAGTGGCCTTATACACGTGGCTATGTGAGAGAAGTTCGAGAGAGAGAGAGAGAGAGAGAGCGGTCTCTCCTCACTCTTGCCCGAACTAGAGCATTTGGGGGCAGAAAACTTCCCCACGACGGGAGTCAAACCTAGGCCGCCTGGGTGAAAATCAGGAGTTAAGTAGTCTGGTACTATTGCTCTGGTATGTTCGATTTATGTTCATAGTTTATCTGTTACTCTTTACGCCTGAAAAATATTCTTCCTTGAAAGTATAGTATAAGGATGAGATTAAAACAACCGCATTGAATTTCTAGTTAATTTCTAGTTAATCACGAAACAACTTTTATAAATGGATATTTTATGAAGAAGAAGAAAATAAAATAATTTAACAAGGTGTAAACGGATTTTACATCACTTGCGCATCTATAAAGATCTTCTACAAGTTGCGTGTTTTGTCCTTCATGGGATTCATCAGATGAATGTCAACAAAATCATCTGAGGGTAACGTTATCATTATTAGATTTGAAGATCTGGATTTTTAAAATGTCCTATAATACAACAAAGCATTTGTTCAATGCTACTTGGTGATCAATCTATAACTAGCTCAAATTAATCCATATTGAAAGTCATTTTACAGATGTTTCTCTTAAGTAAACACTGAACAACTAATGAGTTAATATAATGACTAAATGTTGATATTCTATAGAGTCATTTGAGAAGACATATCATTCATTTGTATTGGTTGTTTGAATCTTACCATTGATGTTTAGGATTGAAATCGATCAGTCACTTATTGACATATGTGTATTCTATGAGTAACTTCTTGATGTTATCACCAAATCACATGTATGTTAAAGGGAGATGGATGATGGCTTTGTATAAAACTCATTGTGCTTCCAGGTTTTCCATGGTGGTTTAGCTTCAATTAACTCATGATCCCAACTATTGAAATTGCTACAACCTCCATAAAACCCCTCTGACATTAATCAACATATGCTCACTAGTGACTGGCTTCAAGAGGTATATCCTGGAGTTCTAGTGAGAAGCAGTGACCATTGGAGTTCCACCAGGTCTGTTGTGAGGCAGCAACGCACTAAAAACAATGATGGATGGTGATGTGATTTTGTGGATTGGTTAAAGTTAGACATTAACGCCGTTAGATGCCGGCCCAGTGGTCTAGTGGTTAAAAGCATGCGCGTGAGATCGATATGTCCTGGATTCGAATCTTACAAGGCGGGGCCGTGGAAGCGCGCTGCTGAGGAGTCCCACAATCAGACGAAACGGCCAGCTAGTGTTTCCAGGTTTTCCATGGTGGTCTGACTTCAAATGATTCATGATCTCAACTATTAAAATTGCTATAATCTCTACAAAACACCTGATATTAATATGTATTTGCATGGATCATTATTTTGATCCTCATTATATTTAGAACGTAGCATTCAATGGGATCCAAAAGGTAAGTTTCGTCCAGTTTTTATCTGAAACCCAGAATTGATATATACAATATGACTCAAAAGAAGTTAGAATCGTTTCAAGCATTAACGCATTTTCCACTGAGTTACTGAATTTAGATAGCTACTAAAATATTTAACATGTTAGATATCTATGACTGCACCTGGAGCGACGAACACCAGGTTTGATTCTCAAGGTTAACATTAATACTCAGATACAGACGTATTCAATCAACAAGTTCTAATAAAGTCGTCTTTTCTAGCTTCAATTTCTACATAATAAGAACTCCTTACTCCAAGACTTCTTCAAGGAAATGCACTCAGGATGTGAATATACTAATACAGACCGGTCAACTTAGGTCCTTTACATTAACAGTGGGATAACATCAATTGTCACATGTGACTAGTTCAATTTGCTCATCATAGATACCTTATCAAGTGAAATAAACTATTCTATCTCATTTAACTAATCTTAATACAATATAATATTGATTACTACTTAGTAAGTGATAAATGATCCTAGTGATTGACAGATTATATCCCCAAATAATCTTATGGTGAGACTATAATTTATGGACGACGGGGTTTTGTGAATATTATTATAATTTCAATAGTTGAGATCATGAGTCAGTTGAAGCTAGACCACCATGGAAAACCAACAGATAGTAACTCACTGATGACAATGGTGGTCGATGACTCAATTTCGTAGATTAGTTGAAATTAGACATTAACATTGTTGGATATCATCTCAATGGTCTAGTGGTTAAATGTTCTCGCGCAAGACTGATAAATCCTGTGTTCAAATCTCGCGGTACGGGATCATGGATGCGCACTGATAAGGATTCCCACAGTAAGACGAAACGATCATCTAGTGCTTCGAGGTTTTCCATAGTGATCTAGTTTCAATGGATTCATGATCTCAATTATTGAAATTACTATAAAGTATAAAATGACCATTATGATTTCAGTAGTATATAAATATATTTCATTATTTATCAACTACATTCTTTTTTAAGTATTGAATAATAAATAACCTACAATTACATCATTCAATTTACATACATATATCCATGTTTATACACAGGAACTAATCACATACACATATATATAATATACAAGTTGGTATTGAATAAGAAATCCTGATGAATTTCAGTAAACTTATACAGAAACATATAAAGTGGAAGGTTTGTTTTTCTATGATAATAATCTGTACAAAATGATATATGCGCTCCAGTTACGTGATGGTGGTGAAGATTTGTAGCTCAGATGGATGATTATGATGAAGTTTTGTTCTTTGAGCTGGATGGTTTGGTTATGGAGCTTTCATCGTTCTTCTGAACGACATTATGTTTATTATCATAAATTAATTAATTAGTCATAGAATCACCATCATCATCTGTATATTTAATATGTAATTGATTAGGACCAATATGAAAACGTGACCATGTTGAAATATCTATTGATTTTTGACGATTTTTATATTTACGTTTAGCATTTAACCAACAAAATATACCTAAACAAATCATTATTGCATAATATAAAAATGTTAATATAAGTGCCCATATCTCTACAGATGATATTGCATAAGATGATGACAACGTTGATGATGACGATGACGGTGATGATGATGATGATGATGAATGAATAACATTGTCAATATTTAAATCGACTGTATTCAATTCAATATGATTTTGATTAATGATAAAATCATCTAACATGACATAGATAAATAGATTGATAGATAGATAGATAGATAGATAGATAGATAGATACGTAATTGCACAAAGAAACCTTTCAAGTTATGTAATTATCTTACAAATGATCATTATATTTGTATTAGTTGTTAAGCATGTTTTGTTTGTTTGTTTGTCTGTCTTTTTGTTTATCTAATTAAGGAATAAACATTAAAAACGATTATAACATTTACAATTTTATTTATTTATTTATATATATATATGTTTATATTTTTAAAATTTGAGCCACATTTTACAAATTGACCAATCATAAATCAGAGGCGTATTATGAGTCTATTCTTAATTAACCAATAATAAAATTCTAATTGTTATAACCTTGATAAATCTAACCAATCAGAATGCGAATTTAAATATAGGCGTGAATAGAATTGAATTAATTTCTTTTATTGATTTAAGGTGAAATAATAAAATTTTTTTAATGATTTTAATGAATAAATATTGATAAAAATAAAAATGATTTTTATTTCCGTTTTTCAAAATCTGTAAAATAAACTAAAATGAGTTCTATGGAGAAGTTGTGACCAGTGAAGTTAATCCGTGTCAGATAGAGATAGTTATCTACTTCAGTACAATGAAAAATGATTGCGTAATTTCATAGATTAGTTGAGGTTAGACATTCATATCGTTGGATGTCGGCTCAGTGGTCTAAACGTTACCCGGTCTCATGTGAGAGCAATAGGTCCTAGGTTCGAATCTTTCGAGTCAGGATCTTGAGTACGCAGTATTGAGTAGTTTCACAATAGGACGAGATGGCCGTAGAGTGCTTCCAGGTTTTCCATGGTGATCTAGCTTTAAATGATTCATGATCTCAACTGTTGAAATTACTACAATCTCCACAAAACCCCATCTGACATTAGTCAACATATTCTCACTAGTGACTGGCTTCAAGAGAGATATCCTGGAGTTCTAGTAAAAAGCAGTGACCATTGGAGTTCAACCGGGTCTATCGTGAGATGGCAACTCATTGATGACGATGGTAGATCTGTAGCTCGATTTTGTGGTTTAGTTGAAGTTAGACATTAACAACGTTGGATTCCGGCAGGCTCTGTGGTTTAAAGGTTGAGTGTTCGTTCGCGAGACCAATAGGTCCCAGGTTCGAAGTCCGCGAGGCGGGGTCATAGATGCGCACTGCTAAGGAGTCCTACAATAGGGTGAAATGACGGTCCAGTGCTTCCAGATTTTCAATGGTCGCTTAACACCAATCGGTTTATGATCCTAATCAAAATATTTCGTAAACATTTGTACATATTCTGTCAAATATAGATAACTATAGAAAACCTGAAAGTGTAGTAAACAAAGAACGCAAGTGGGGACAATCGAATGTATTGGAACACAAAATTACAAAACATCTCACTTAAATGTGAAAATTATACAGTAAATACTTCATTTGCCAAAATATCTATCAATTATCTAAAACTTGACTGTTCCTTTTGCAAATATCAGACCATCGTCTTAGATTTCAGTGCTCGTGCATTTTCATACCGATTGCTTTCGTTTCCAATTCTTTCCTGCTCGACCTTTTATTCCTGACTATCATAATATACTACTTATGTGTATATAAGTAGCGCACACCACAAAAGCATTAGATAGTTATTTTACCCTTGGTTTGGACTCATTAGAATTGTACACATAAAACATCAGGATCGAGGATTAATTGAAGTCAGGACTTCTTGTATCGAACGTGGACGCTTAACTTTTAGACTATATAGACTATATATTTACTATATGTATTGATCTCTAAACGATTCGAGATTGTGCACATCTCTCATCCATTGCATAAAATTAGATAACTATATCACATCAGACATGGTTGAACTGCACTGGTCATAGATTCTCATTAGTATTTCAAGAGTCTTATTTCCAAGTTAGTTATTAGTGAACATATGATTATTGCTATGATATGGAGATTTGTGAAGATGGTAGAATTTCCAAAGTTTAAATGATAGTCTAGCTAAGATCAGTCAGTTCTTGATGTAAACGATAAATACATCTTTCAATCTGTGTGATTGCATCTGGTGATCAATTCATTTACAGTTTTGAAGTTACCTATGACGATAAAAAGGCCAAAGCGAGAGATACATATGTTAAGTGGTAATGGATAGATAGGATAAGATATTACTTGATTGTATTTGAAACGACTATTGTAAGTTGTACATGATTAATGATACCTAGATAAAGAATATGGAGAGTGACTATCTGGTCAGTGATGACAGCACCCTAAGTTATTACGTAAATTCTAACCAGACAGCCCACTTTAAATAAAACTAAAAAGCAGAAAGTAACTTCATCGACTGGTTTACATATTTAACTTTCATCAATCTGTAATGCCACTCAGCTACCTTCCAATGTACTTAATAGGTAACTGAACCAAAGTAAACATAGTTAAAATTCACTGCTCATGGCTTCTCATCAGAACGTAATGATTAGTGAGCATGCGATTAGTAACTGTAGACAGTTTAGAAGTGATAAAACGTTTGTATACTAGGCTGAAGATCTTGGGTTCAACTCGTGGTGGGGTTGTATACTTATACTACTGAGAATTCTGCAATAAGGCAAAATAGCTATCTAGCGATCCTTAGGTTATAATGCTTGTTTGACTAAGAGTAGTTCATTATGATTGATTACGATGATCGAACATTTACTGAACGTAGCAGTCAGACTAATTACATTTGTAATTTTATTGGTCAAGCTACTGATTGATAATAAGTAGTGTAGAAACTGTTGTTAACTGATGATGTAGATACGTGATGAAGTTGGGAACTAGCATAGAGGTTAATCACTATGTGGGTGTGGTCACTGTTAATGAATCCTATAATAGGGTGAGAAATCTATCCAGTTCCTTCAAGTTTTCACTCGTACTCTAAAAAATCGATCTGCAACGTATACAATTTACAATATATGGATTCATTCATACGGGTTTACATTTTCCCGTTGGTGACATTTAACGCAAGAGGGAAGTGTACATTCTATGATCCCGTCTGCTCATAAAGTGAACGACAATGTAATAGAGATAAACAACTTATTGTCCAGTTCGGAATAACATAGTGCTAAGGCGAAATATGAAACTTACTTACTTATGCCAATTACTCCACGTGGAGGAGCATAGACCGCCCACTAGCACACTCCATCCAACACTGTCCTGGGCAATACTTTCCAGCTCTTTCTAGTTGTTATTCATCTTTTTCATATCTGCTTCTATTTCCCCACATAATGTGTTCCTCGGCTTTCCTCTTTTCCGCCTTCATTTAGGATTCCATGTTAGGGATTGCCTCGTGATGCAGTTTCATGATTTGCGTAATGTATATCCTATTCATTTCCATCGTCTTTTCCTAGTTTCCTCTTCAGCTGGAACCTGGTTTGTTCTCTATCACAGATGACTGTTGCTGATGATATACGAACAATGGATGTTGAGTATCTCGCGTAGACAACTAATTATAAATACTTATACCTAATTGATAATGGTTGTAGTAGTTTTCCAAGTTTCAGCTCCGTACAGTAGAACTGTCTTGACGTTCGTATTGAAAATTATGGCTTTGATATTGATTAAAAGCTGTTTTAAGTTCCATATGTTCTTCAATTGTAGGAATGTGACCCTTGTTTTGCCAATCTTCACCTTTACGTCTGCATCTGATCCTCCTTGTTTATGGATAATACATCCAAAATATGAAAGCCATACACTAAATTAATCATTTACACATCTTCTTTGAGTTGTCTCTTACAAAATTTATCTATCCTTCATCCCTATTGTTATTTTGATTATATTCTCTTTTATCATCTCTTCATTTCAATCTTAATCTTCTACTCACAAGTATTTCATTTCTGATTGATTCTATATACTACTTATATCTGTCAACATAAGTAGCATATACCACACCTAGAGAGAATGATCAATTTGGGTTGTTTTTTGTTTTCTATAAGTGATAACTGAGTATATGTGTTTCTTGTTAGTGACTTGTATCATGTTTCAATAAACTGATTTATTCTAAATTCAATATATGATACTTATTTCTATTTAGGTTTTAAGTAAGTTATTGTTGCTAAGTGCCTACCTTTCTTCAGTAATATAAACTGTAGTGTCAATCAGTCGATATTCATTATAGTAACAATAAATAAACAGCATTCTATAGTTTGTTTTAAACAGAAGTTGTATAGTTAATATATAGTCGGTAATTTATAAATTATAATGTGAATCATTTACTTATTTATTTACTTACGCCTGTTACTCCCAATACTGGAGCATAGGTCACTGACCAGCATTCTCCAACCCACTCTGTCCTGGATCTTCATTTCTAATTCTATACAACTTTTGTTCATTCTCCTCATGTCTGTCTCCATTGCTCAGAATAATGTGTTCTTTGGTATTCCTATTATCCTTTGACATTGAGGATTCCAACTGATGAGTGATTGCCTTGTGACGCAATTGGATGCTTTCCTCAATGTGAGTCTTATCCACTTCCAGTACTTCTTCGTGATTTCTTCCTCCATTGGGATCTTGTTTGTTCTTTTCCACAGTAGGTTGTTGCTGATAGTGTCCGACCAATGAACTCGACGTATTTTGCTTAGACAACTGTTAATCAACACTTGAATCTTCTGGATGATGGCTTTCGTAGTTCTACAAGTTTCCGCTTCATACAGTAAAACTATCTTGATATTTGTATTGAAAATTCTGACTTTGGTACTTGAATAAATATGCGACCATAGCGAGCAAGCAATAAGAAAAATACAATTATATCCAATTTAGGGCATAAGGGTAGAGAATATGACGGTAATTTATGCACTAAACGAAAACTTATAATTCATAGAATAAAGAAGGCTTAAAACTGAATGTTGGTACTTTACAGACTTTAAATTAAGCAAGACAATATTTCAAAAAGTAGCTTAAATGATTTATTATTGCTTCTTTATCACTCAGTTCACATGGGAAAGATACAGGTTTATATGAGTTGCCAACTGCAATACACTAGGTTAAGGCTTGACTATACCATTAAGGTTGAAGATAATCTCTCCAATGTCAAACTTATGCTTGCAATTGTAACTAATACTTATTGACTGGAATGTTGTCGGCATATTAATACTTTACAACTAATGTGATTAGTCTATCCATTTATAATTTGTTATATACGAATGAAGAATAAATGAATA